GACATGCGAATGTGATGTCTGAGGTCTGCCGCTGGGGAGAGGGAGGCTGCATTTACTGCTGCGGGCGGGCTTGGTGCTCCTTTGGCGGTGGAGATCCCAGGGTCTGCCAGTCTGCAGGTGTGGCTGCAGGATTTTGGCTGGAGTGGCTGCAGGTCGCGGACGGGCAGTCTCCCAGGCCTGTCTGGGTGGTGGTGCTGATGAGTTCCTAGAAGAGGCCACTCTCTCCATTAAGATGGCGTGGGCCCCATGCCCAAGTCCTGCAGTCCGGGGAGGGCAACAGCGGTGGTAGTCTTTCCGTGTCCCAGAGAGCCTGTTCTTCCAGTCTCTGCTGCTCCTGCTGGAGTTAACTGTCCCTCACTCAGTCACACACACAACACACACATCTATTCACTCTCCTTTTATCCCCTCACTCACTCACTTCCTATCCCTCACCTCCATAATGCCAGCTGCCATCATTTGATGCTCCAAGCCACATTAAAGTTTTTGTTACCAAACTGGCTTAGTGGGGACATTTGATCCAACCCTGCCTGTCCAGGCTCTTCCACCCTCAGCAGTGTGGCCTTGGCCAGGATGACTTTCAGACCCGAGGTAGCCCATCCCCTCACCTAGGAGGCTGGACTTAGATAAGTAACAGGAGATGCCTTACTAAGAACTTACTACCTGCCAGCACCGCTGCAGGTGTGTGGAGAGAACCAGGACAATCCTGAGGGCACAGTCCCTTAATTGTGCCTCAGTTATAGGTGAGGAAGCTGTTGAGAAAATCACCTAGGTCAGTGGCTGGTGAGGGAGGAGCTGGATGGAGGGAGTTAGGGCATCCACGGGGAAGCTGGAGGCCACAGGGAGCCGGCCCAGAACCCTCTGAGGAAGGGGTCTGTGTCCTCCTGGCCTGGGCTCCGCTGGGGGTCAGACTGGGTCTGGGGGTAGGATTAGGGTGAGGGTGAAGGAAATGCCATGGTACCTCCTAGTCCTCCTGAGGTACAGGAAATAGCCCAGGGAGGCCCCCAGAGCCACCAAGACAAGGGCCCCGATCACTCTGCCAACGATGGTCCTCACAGAGTAGCCTGTGTAGTTTTGTTCTGCTGAAAGGAGAAGGGAAAGGAGGGGAGGAGAAGGCCCACGTCCATTCAGGGGAAACCAGGAGGGGCCCTTGCAGGGGGAGGTGTGGTGAAGGAGGAAGGAACTGCCACCTAGTCTGTGCTGTTTGGGAGTGTCAGTCCTGACACCCCACTTCTGGCGGTTGCATCATTCTCTGTTTTGCACATTTGAAACCTTCCATTTGCTGTAACTTTGCATGTACTCTCACACCCATCCTTCCCATGTCCTGGTAATTTTCCTCTTAACTCCTCTTTTCCTCACATGTTCTATCTCTTACCCTTGTTTCTTCTTTTCCATCACTATGGACAGTCTTAGTGGCACCTTACCTGTCAACTCATGGCTGATGAGTAATAAAAAGTGCTGAGTGTTTTTGATGATCAACAGGGTGTGAAATATTCTACCTTCATGTCATCTGATCCTTCCACCCCCACGAGGGACGCAGGTGTCACCCCTACTGAGCACAAACAGAATCAGGGATGGGAGGTGCTTAATAAATGGCAGGCAGTCACAGATCTGGTGAGTGATAAATGACATTTTCACCAAGTTCTGCTTGACTTCACAGCTACTGACAGCAGCGTTTATAAAAATAACAATAATAATTGGTACACTGACTGAGTCCTGACTGAGCATGACCCTGTCTGCGGGTTTTATTCTCATTAACCTCATAAGAAATATCCTAACAATGGTGTTTAGGTCCAGCTGTTTTATTCCAGTTTAGAGATGAAGAAACTGAGGTTCAGGTGGGTGAGAGCCTTCCCCGTGGTCAGACAGTTTAGACTCATAGAACCGAGACAATGCTGATTAGTCTAATACTGGGGTCCATACCCATGTGCTCTATAGGCTCTGAAGGAGGCTCCGACCTCCTCAAGGCTTTCATCGATCTCACCCCCTTTCCCATGAAATATACAAAGGCAAGTGGGAGAGGTCGAGGGTCACTCATATTGCACATGTAGCCTGAAGAGGTCACTTTTCCTGGAACTGACGGGGTTGAAGACCTCACACTGATAACCCCCAGCACCCTTTCTCCTTACGGGGTCTATGGTGAGGGTGCTGTTGTCCTGGGACAGCTTCATCCTGTCCATGAGCAGGAGACTATGGTTTTTGAAGAGCCAGCAGATGGAGATCCTCCTGTCATTTGTGAGGCAGGTCAGGACCATGGCGTCCTTATGCTCTGTGACTGTGGTATTCCTGGCTCAGATGGAGGGCTTTCCCACTGGCTCTGTGGAGAAACAGAGGAGGTGACTGACTGAGAGTGGGCTCATTTCTCAGAGATGTCAGTCACTCACAGTCCACAGCAAAGGTCATCAGAGGAGGACTCTGACCTCTGCAGGGTGAGGACCTTTGTTCAGGTGACAGTCTGTAAGGAGAGGGCTATACACCCCCTTCCCTCCAGATCACCTGGATATCTGAGATATTAGGTCCGGGGGCCTTAGATCTTGTGTCCAGCATCTTTATCACCAGGTGGCATTTTCCACCCATTGACTTTTGTGTGATTTCCATAGTTGTCTGTGACTTTCTAAATAATCACATCCCCTCTCTCATATGGTGGCTATACATAGAGATGGGAAGGCATTTTTGTTTTGTTAAGTAATTTATTAGAAACTATAACCCAGGCAGTTTTCATGACCTTAGGACCCGTAGAAGTTTCAATCTAAAGGATTTCTCAGTGTGAATAGGACTTTCACTTCCTGCACTTTGGATTAAATATCAGGGAGAAGGAAGTCCCTAGAGAGAAGTAGTCAGGTTTAGCATCAGGCTGGTAGTCTTAGCTTGCTTTGTAAACTACACACTTTGTGCCACTGCTCCTACTGTCCCATGAATCTACATCCATGTCAAGGAAGCACTACCATTCACTGTGCTCCGTAGGAATGTCACATATGGTCGTGTAGCACATTGTTGTGTAGCTGATGACTTCAGAGTCAGGACACAGCTCAGAGGAGTATCTCCTGTGTCTCACTCTCTCCCCACATACATGCAGCCTGGTCTGAGGGAGGCCATGGTGTCAACAGGTGACATATTTGGCAATTTGGAGGACAGGCCACCCCTGCACCTTCACTATGGACTCCTGTCCCACCACAGAGGGCACAGAGCTGTCAGTCACCAGGTGAGCCTGGAGCAGAGCAGGGAGAAGGGATTTGTCCTATTCACCCCTCCTCAGAGGTTGTTTCATCCTTTAGTTTGGGGAAAAGAGATGAGGTTGTTCAAAACCTTGTATGTTCCTTGTAGCACATGGAGCAGGCAACAGACAGGAGGTGACAGAAGGTCAGTGTTAGTAAGAGAAGAAGCAACTTTGCCTTGAAGATCCTTGTTTTCCCCTCTGGAAAACTCCCTCCCTCCACCACTTGACTCTTTCTGGGGCTGAGAGAACCCCCTCCTCACGTTCCCAGGCTGCAGCCCAGCTCTTTCATGAGAAATCAGAAGAGCAAGGGAGGAGAGTCTATAGAGATGTAGTGAGAGGGCTCAGGGGAAGACTGTGATTTGCTTGTGTCCCTGGCCACAGGATGGGAGACAACACCCGCCAGGCTCTTTTGTGAAAACCAGACAGACCTGCACCCCACAGCCTGGTGCCGATGGTCCAGGGGGCACTTACCATAGACTGTGATAGTCTTGATCGTGGTCCTATTGAAGCCAGTGACAGAATTATGGGTGAGGCAGGTCTGG